TTCGAGGGCCACACTGCTGTCACGGCCGTACTGAACCAAGTGGCCTGTGCTGTCACCCAAGGCCATGGTGACATCCAGGCCCCAGCTGCAGCAGAAGGCCATAGATTCTATGGCCCTACCATAACTGGAGTATATGATGATGTCTGTGGCCCATGCAGATGCCCCAGGTCTGGGCTGCCATCTGAGGCCATATTGGTATCTGAGGGCCATGATGTTGCCTGTGCAGCCACTCAGGATCATGGGGACATCCGGGCTCAGGCTGTGGCTGAGGACCATGGTTGGGTTTGTGTTGATGTCCATGGCCCATGTTACCATCATGAGCCATGAGAGCGCTGGCCCTGGTGGTCTGGGCACCAGAGAGCTGGTCCCACCCCTTGCCTGCTGCCTCATCAGGAAAACTGCCCCCTCCCCCGTACTGGCCCCAGTACCAAAGGTGCAAGAGAGCAGGCCTGGATCTTTAACCGTCCTGGAAGAACTATGTCCCCTTTCACTGGCAGCAGAAACAGGAGAGCTAAGCCCACAGGCAGTAGTGCTGACCTCATCTCTCACCAATTACGTGCATGCAGGAGCTGGCCCTGAGGCTTGCCTGAGGGATTGCTCATGGTGGAGGCCCAGACTGAGCCATTTAGCTACGACCAAGCCCATATTTGGGGCTTTGAGTTGGCTCACTCCAAAGTCTATACTATCTATGATCTCCTAAACCAGGTGAAGGGACTAGGCCTGTAGAACCATAGCTGACCCTGGGCAACAGCAGGACAACTGAGTGAAGTTTCAGTGAGGGTCCAGTATGGATAGTGTAGCAGAAGTCAGAGGCCTTGAACCAGAACAAAAACTCATTGCGATGAACATTTGCAAATTAAGAAAGTTCTTTGGCTAAAGCGTATCCTGCATGATACACAGCAGCTCCCAATGCCAGTCCAGTGTGATGGAGAGGTGGGGAAGACAGAGGAGCAAAGTGGCACACACATGGCAGAACAGAAGACACACCTGGAAAATGTAAATAAATGTTGGTTCTCCGTTAATTATAAGCTGACGATTTACCACTTTAAAAAGTGTCTATTTCTAGGGCTTGGAGTGTGGCCCAGTGACAGTGCTTGCTTAGCATTTTCTGAAGCTCTAGGTTTGGTCTCTGCCAATCATACAAATAAGTGAATAAAGAAATGAGCAGATAGTCTGCTTCTAGTCTGAACCACTGACAACTGGACAGCCACTCAAGAAAGCGAAGCAAAACAATGAATATCTGTTTGGAGGTTAATGAAGCAGCTCAGTTGGTAGAGTGCTTGCCTCGTTTGCAAGAAGCCCTGTGTTCAATCCTAAGCACCGCATAAACCAGGGTGTGCTGTTGCTTGCCTCTTGTCTTGCTAGATCTAGGCAGGAGGCTCAGCTGGAAGGTGGTTTGGGCTACACACCAAGCTGGAAGCCAACCTGGGCTATAAAACATTTTATCTGAAAAAAATTTTGCCCTCAGTATTTGTTCCAATTTTCAAAAATTGTGTGGCACATACATCTAGTGGAATTTTAGTCTCATGTTGAAATTGAAATATTTTTATTAATTTTTTTCCAGCCCAAACACATTCCCCCCTCCTCTCTTTCTAGTCCCTCTCTCAACCTTCTTCCCTTCATCCACTCCTCCTTCTTTCTCTTCAATAAATTTAAATTTTTCTTCTACTTTATTCCATTAGTGGAGATAATGAATTCCATTGTATTCTTTCTATAAATATAAACAGCCCGACAATACGCACCGTTGTTTTCATCAGGTACGTTGTTCAAGGGTTCAGGACACTGGGCAGTAGAGATTATGAGAGATTGGTGACAGTGGTGGTTCTATGTCTTTTTTCCTCTCGTCCCAAACTCACATGAAAACGAAACAACTATCCAGGACAAAAATATCATGTATGTTATCTTAGTTAGGGTTTCTATTTCTGTGATAAAATGCCATGACCAAAAGCATCTCTCGGGGAGGGCATTTATTTAGTTCATATCTCCATATCACAAAGCCAGCATGAAAGGAAATGAGGGCAGGAGCTGAGCAGAGCCCATGAAGCAAAACTATTTACTGGCTTGCTCCTTATTCCTCACTCAGCCGCCTTTCTTATCCAACCCAGGACCACCTTCTGAGGGGGGTACACCTGCACCCCATCCCCACTGCTCACTTGGGAGGTGGGCCCTCTCCCATGAGTCATTAATCATGAAGATGCCCTACAGTTTTGCCAAAGACCAATCTTATGGAGGCATTTTCTCAATTGTTTCACCTCTTCTCAGATGACTCTAGCATGTGTCAAACTGACCAAAAAAAACTAATAAGGACACAGATATTTTCCATGAATGTAGGTTATAAGGTACCATCCAATACCTAAAAATTCAGGTAGATATTAAAAAACAACACCTATCACATTATGCATATGGTATCAGTATCTGTGTTGGAGGGAAGGATAAATTGTCAGTATCCCCTGCCTGGGGGTTCTGCATTCACAGATCCAACCAAGTGCATATCACACTCAGGAGTAAAAATGTAGAGAAGCCAAGGACAATGGCACTGAGTTTTGACCCTACTGCTTGTACCGGCTTTGTGGGAGCCTAGCCAGTTTGGATGCTCACCTTCCTAGACCTGGATGGAGGGGGGAGGACCTTGGACTTCCCACAGGGCAGGAAACCCTGACTGCTCTTTGGACTGGAGAGGGGGGGGGGGGGGAGGAAGACTGGGGGGGAGGGGCGGGGGGAGGGAAAAGGGAGGTGGGGAGGAGGCAGAAATTTTTAATTTAAAAAAATTTAATAAAAAATGTAAAAAATGTATCTACCCAAAAAGTGTGCATTTTTCTTATCATTATTCACAAAAAATAGTAACACCTTCTTACTTATCATTGAATTTAGTATTTTAAATAACTTAGAGAATATTTAAAGTATGTAGGATATACAGTTTTAATATAAATCTCGTATGCTCACTTGCTCTCTCTTTTGGGGAGATCTGCTTTGTGTGAGCATTTGGTACTTTAACAAAGAGGGAATGTGCTAAGGGCCAAAGCTTAGGAGAAGAGTTTGCAGTCAAGAGTTTAAACAGATTTGGTTATGATGTTTGAGCTAGAGACACTGCCTAAGGCCATGCAGATCGAAAACTCAGGAGCTGAAGTACAAGTATCTAGTGAGGTGGCTGACATGTCTGACCCCATAATGATAGATTACTGGGGGAAGAAACCTCATCTATAACACAAGTATTGTTTTTTACTAAATCCAAGGCATGGGGAGATATTACATGGGCAAGGCCACTGATATGTTGTGTGTGTGTGTGTGTGTGTGTGTGTGTGTGTGTGGTATTGCTGGTGGTTAAGACCAATGATATACATACATACATATGCACACACATATGATTGTCTCTGAATCTCTTGGTTTGAAGCTACAAAAGTTTTATACACACAGGTAATTCACTAATCCGTTTAGTCTATAGAACAAAAGTACAAGCAAGTCTTCTAATCAGTGTTTGCACTTTCCATGAGATGTCTCAATACTGCCAACCCTGAGAAAGCCTCAGCTTGTATATTAAAGGCTTTTCTACCCTCTGCTGCCACAGCTGTCTTTATGACTACCGGAGGCCTTACAGTGTGTGCGCGTGTCTCTGTATGTTTAGAGTACCTTAGGAAGGACCTTGAGACTAGAACTTTGCAAGCCCTGGAAGCAGCCTTAGGGAATGAGGGGATCTGAAACTTTTTCTTCAAAAGTGACAGAGTATTAGGACATTAGAACAAGAACACTTGTTTCTGTGAAATGTCAGATCTTTTTAAATTTCTTTTTCATTTATTTTACATACTGACCACAGTTTCCCTCTCCCTTCTCTCCTCCCGATCCACCCCCCCATCTACCCGCCCCCATCCACTTCTCTGTTTCCATGAACAGAAAAGGGCAGGCCTCCCATGAGCAACATGGAGTTGAAGCAGGGCCAAGCTCCTCCCCTTGCATCCAGGCTGGGCAAGCAACCCAGCATGGGGAACAGGTTCCCCAAAGCCAACTCAAGTGCCAGGGACAGGTCCTGATCCCACTGCTAGGCGGCCCCACAAACAGACCAAGCCACACAACCTTCACACACATACAAAGGGCCTAGGTTGGTCTCAGGCAAGCTCCCTAGTCAGTGAGCTCCTAAGACTCAGGTCAGCTGTCTCTGTGGGTTACCCCGTCAAAATGTTAGATCTTAAGAAGCTTTGCCAGGGTTTCTTAAGCATTACTTTCAGTCAGGTGGCAGTGGCTCATGCCTTTAATCCCAGCTCTCTGGAGGTAAAGGCAGGCCAGACTGGTCTACAGAACAAGTTCTAGGGCAGTCAAAGTTACACAGAGAAACAAAAAAAAAAGTTATTTTTTAAAATATGAAGAGTCAGGACTAAGTCAGGGTCTATGCTTCCATTAGCTGTATACCAGAAATGAGGAGAATGAGAGGGGCGCTTTCCTGGCCTCATTTGCATTTTTAACTCCTCTCTTACCATGCTTCCAACTCAAGTTTCTGAACTGCTAATTTCATAGTAATTAATTATGCAGTTAAAGTAAAAAAATTAAAACGCTGAAGACCATTCATCCGGAATATGTAGGAAACAAACTATTCATGCAATTCTCTCCAAATATCTTCCTTTCATACGTACAAACATTTTTCACAATGGACTTATTCATCAACACGCATTCAAATATTTGATGAAAACCACGCCACCTGTGCCTTTAGTCATTAACCTTACTTTGCCCTCCTCTGACCAAGCCTCACCCCAGACCTCAGAAAGTCCACCCCCTCTTCTTCCCCCCCCCACTTCCAACCCATAAACACTATTCTGCTATAAAAACGGAGCCCCCATCTTCAGGCACTGGACCCCAGCAATTTTTTCCTCCTTATCAGTCTTCTTCCCACTCCCTCTTTCCGTTTTTCCCTCCCCACTTGAGATCATGCCACCCTGCCTTTTCCTGGCTCTTCATGGGCTTTTTCCCCTTTTCCAAGTTTCAAATCACCTGTTCTAACTCAGACTGTTCTAGGTCAGTATTTTGTGGCTCATTTCTTCCAAAGAGTCAGCCGCATGATAACGACTCTCCTTAATCCTCCAGATATGAACTCCTAAAAGTAACTGTACCCCAGTAAAGAGACTCAATTCTTTGAATAAAGCTTAACACTTTTATTAAAATGCTTAACTACATTAAAAGCAACTTGGAAAGCAAAACTCTAGAGTCAAAAGAAAAGCCCAATAGCAACAAAACCCAAGTTGTTTTTAAAAAGCACAGAATGGAATCACAGGTCTTATAAGTGCTGGATAGCTCGGGACAGGGAGTTTCAAACGTGCTCTGGATAATGGTGAACAGGGAGAAGTCCTCGAAACCTCATACACAGAAAACAGGGGATAGGTGCTGATGATTCCTTTTATCAGTCTCGGGGGACACTCATAAAAAGTCACAGTACCGGTGGAGTAGAGGAGTGTGGGGGGTAAAATCCTCTTCTTCTTCCTCTGACTCTTCAGAAATGTAAGAATCCAGGTTATTCGTGTCACCCGTCAAGGCACGCCGAAGGCTATCTGATCTAAGAGCACAGATAGAGCTCAAGGAGCAGATCAGGGACTTTGGTCAGGTGAGCTGCTTGAGGAAGAGCCGGAACTTTCAAGACCCAGAGTTTCAGCAAATTCGGCGAAAGAGGATAAGTCCCCACTTATTAACTGCCTAATCAAAAAATAGCGCCTACCAGGTGAAGGGGAAGAGGCCCGCATACGGACTGGGCGCCTTGGAGGAGAGCTGCCGTCTTCCATTTCGGTGCTCTCCGGGACTGCAGTCGGCGAGGTGGACGGGCTTCCTTGGGTCTGGCTGCTAGGGCCAGGGGCGGGCTCCACGGTTTCTCCACGGTCTCGGCGGTCAGAGCTAGGCCTGGACACACGGGGGCCTTTACGTGGTGTTGTGATACTGCCCGTAGTATCAGGACGACGCTCCACAGTAGTGCTGCCAACAACAGGATCACGCTGGCCTGTGAGGTGGACGTCAGGGCTGACCTCCGAGGCACTGCCATGATGACCAGATGCAGTGGTACGTGAGCGGAGTACCCTGCTTCCAACAATCACGCCGCCTTTGGAACCAGGGCTGACCTCAGATTCACCGTGACCAAGACCAAGATCAGGAACCTGCAGAGTGGCCTGTTGACGGAGATTCTGGCCAGCAGCAGTGGCGTGCCCTTCGTCAAAGCTGAACTCAGGTGCATTCTTGTGACCACCAGAGCCAGGCAGAACAGCTTTGCGGCGGGTCTTAGAAGCCGGAGTAGACACCTGGTGTGACATGGTGGCAAGGCTTCCAAAGGCAGATTCTGAGAATGTCTGGCTCTGCATGGAAGGTTCAGAGCGGTGAGATCTCAGAGAATATGATGGCTGAGACGTAGAAGCCTCTTCTGTAGCTTCCGGAAGCTGAAGCTCACCTGGACATCTTGTAGCTAGGTCTCGGCTGGGCTGCTTCCTCCTTCTTTCTGTCTCAGCCGGGTTCCCGCTGGCCGAGGTGGCTCCTTTCGAGGGTTGGTCCCTCTCTCCGTGGCTCTTTGTCCGGGGCCCAACACGTCCAAGTTTTGTGTTTGGGCTGTCCCGGCCACCGCTACCCTGGAAGTCGGCATGCTGACTCTCCTGATTTTCACCAGCCACAGAGATGGAGTCAGATGTTGCAGGTTTGGCTGTGATGCCCTGGAGAACTTTGTCTGTCGCAGAGGCACCAAGGCGGGTCGGCACTGAGGCGGCAGGTTTCATTCTGTGGGGCCTAGAGGTCTTTCTAGGTGTGTCCATATACCCCGAAACGTTGCCCTGGGGGTGCTTCTGCCCCTTCTTTAAGGTTGAATGGCTGGCCATATCGGCTTACCAGTTTTTTGCAGGTAAGAGAGCGGCTTCTTGCCTTCTTCCTTGCTCAGTGCGACAGCTCCTGGGGAGGCAGGCTTCCTCACTCAATGAGAGAGGACTTCTGGCGAGCCAGCGAAGATGCGGTAGAGATAAAACTGAGGAAGTAGGAGAGTAGGTGGAGCTGGCCCAATTCTAGCCCCTGATTCGACAGCTGTAAGTAATACAGTGCTACCAAATTCAACTTCCGGGAGATTTTCTGCTGAACCTCCCTTCACCTGTCGTCATCTCCTGCTGTGCTAAAGGCCAGGGAAGCTTCTAGTGTTTTCTGGTATGCTCTTCCACCCCCTACCCCAACCATGCTTTCTGGGGACAAAGGTCTAAATTTCACAAGCCCTCCATCCTGTCCTGAGAATGTTTGGGGTGGGAACATTCCCAGGAATCATATGCAACCCCCCAAAAGAGTTTGCTCATCACTTCGTGTATCTGTCTTAGTTAACCATTTCCTATACGCTGACCTATAAGCTCTATCGCCCAAGCCATGTAAGACCCTACCGCTGTCCTTTAAGCAGCCAGGTGACCCTGCTAGGGTTTTAAGTTTGCTGAAGGGGGTCTAAGGATTTCAAAGGGCATGATAAGGCCCACATTGCCTTACCTTTGAAATGTTGAGCAAGGAATGTCAGGTCCCAAACACCAGATCGGGCTTTACAGTTCTGCAGTACGGCATTTCTCCCTGGCTTGCCTTGAGGCACAGACCACGCTGCCTAAGATTCAGCTGATAAGTGGACTTGGGCTCCTCTTCTCGGTTTTTTTTCCTACTTACCATCTGCACAGACCTTTTAAGTTTAATATTTACACACATTTTAAATTATTACAAAAGGGCTTTGGTTTGGGTATTCCCAAACAGAAAAGCAAATGTATCAAAACCGGCAACTAGGAGGCACTGGGAGGCAGAGGCAGGTGATCTCTGTGAGGTTGAGGCCAGCCTGATCTACAGAGCTACAGCCAGAGCGGCCAGGGCTACACAAAGAAACCCTGTTTTGAAACACAACAACAAATAAAAACCAAACAACAACAACAACAACAACAAAAACAGCAACTAAATTTTCTCATGCCTACAATCAAATACTAGGCAAGCTAAATTATATCTTCAGAGAAGGGCATCCATACATGTTTCCTAGTTTTAGGAAAACAGAATAATTATTCATACAGAAGTATTATCTTGTGAGTTTTCTGATGGTATCCAGAAAGAACATTTCCCGTGTCAATGAATGCTGACAAGGAGCCACGTGTGCTATTTCACACCTGTGATTGTAGCACTGGGAAGGTGTCAGCAGGATTTCAGCCTGAAGGTCCCCCGGGCTACAGCTGAGACCGGTCTCAAAACAACAACAAAGTTCCCACAATACCGTCTTGGAACTAAAACATAGTTCTATTGGGGAGGAAAGATGCTTTCAAGCATTCTTGTACTAATCAATATTTATACTCTTTCTGTTTTTTTTCACATCAGTGTGAGATACACATTAGTGTGCTTATTAAAGATTGCCCACATACTCAAATGCGCCTTTATTGTGGATCACTTCTCAGAGGAAGAAATTCTTGATATAAGCCTATGCGCATTTATAATTTTAGCAGAAGCAAATGGGACACTAAACAGAATGGATGAGCAACTGGACTGGACCACAGAAATAGAACAGAATGGTATTTGGTGTGTTAAATAAGGTGGAATGGCAAATGCGTCTGAAATAGAAAGTAGCATGCAATGAAATGGAGACTAAGTGCAAATTAGAATGAACTAGGGAATGAGATACACGCTTGAATAGTATGATATGGACAACTAAATAGGTCACAGATTGAGTAGAATAGAATGGACAAAACCAGAATGAGACAGAAAGTACCTAATATGTGAAAGAAAAATATAGCACATGAAAAAAATGTAGTGACAAGTAAAATATTAAAATAGTGAAAAATCAAACTAGGAATGAATATAGAATAGGACCAAATGTGCAAAGTCTTGGAATCATTTAGTACAGATTTTAAAATAGAAGACAAAGATATTCCGTATACGTGTAATTGTGTGTGTGTGTGTTTGGTCATTAGGAAGTGGCACTACTAGACAGGGAATAGGAGGTGGCCTTGTCGGAGAAAGTGTGTCGCTGGGTGTGGGCTCGGAGTTTCAGAAGCCCAAGGCAGGTCCAGTTGTTCTCTCTTCCTGCTGCCTGGGATCTGGATGTAGAACTCTCAGTTCCTCCAGCATCATGCCTGTCTGCATGCCTCCATGCTTCCCACCATTCTGATAATGGATCTCTAAAACTGTAAGTAAACCCTACTTAAATGCTTCCTTTAAAAGAATTGTTATGGTCATGGTATCCCTTCACAGCAATAGAACACTGACTAAGAGATACATTTTTTCAGGTATTTGGCACAATATTTCCCAACTTTAAAAGAAATACAATAAAGTATTTGTCAAATATGTAAAGAATGCACACATCAGATATTAGAATTAATAAATTATTTTAATATAGTCACTAGCTATATAATCAGTATTACAAAATCAAATTATATTTATACTAAGATCAAGAATTATGAAAAGAAAAATTTGAAATGCCATTTCATGTAACATGAGCAAGTATCAAGTGCTTGTGACCAAACAATAACAACTCACAGATGCTTGCTCAGAAATCACCATATTAATTGTGAAAGAAGTTTAAGAAAGCCTCCATTAATCCGAGACACAGCATGCTTCACTGTGGGTTGAAACAGTATTCAAACTGTTTCTGTTTATGGTCCTTGCTCAGCCTCCCCCCCCCATGAGTCCCAGATATGACGGTATATAAAATAGGCAGACTAATAAAATAAGTGCTAAGAATAAATCATAAAGAAATATGTTTTAAATAGTTCTCTGGTGTACATATAATTTGGTCAGTTACTAAAGATGATTGTAAACTTTCATACTAATGGGACAGATGGCCCTATTTATTCTTGCACAAAGAATTAAATATTGACTGAATATTGGATATTTTAGGATATAGAGCATCTTCGTAAATGTTCAGGGTTTATCAATATTTTATAATTGCCAATGCTTAGACTGTTGCTTTATATAAAATGCAGCATAAATATGTAATATTACAAAATATTAGAAGCATGTTTAGAGCCATTTCAGAAGTTATTAGAAATTCTGTCACAACTCCAAGCAAATACTCTTTGTACACTTTATGAAAAGCAACTCAAAAGGAAATTTATAAAATCAAACATTGTAACTCTAAGCAATCCAAAGATAAGATAGCATGAGATAACAGAGAATAACAAATTACAAATAGTAAATGTTTAACTTTTAAAAGTATTAAAGAATAATGTTTCTATAAGAGTAGAAATCTGTGTAGGTATTGCAAAAGCACTGTAATTCGTAACAAAGAACTGTCTTTGACTTGAGGTCTTCCAAAGTACCAAGGACAGCACTGTGTGATGCAAAGTGCATGCCTGCTACATTCAGGAACCAAGTCTAAAATGAAGTTGTATAATGATACACAGGTGACCCCTGCCATAAACCTCAGGCTCATTCCGTGTTTGATATTGAATTAACTTTGCTTTATGTGTACTGCTCTATGCGGTTAAATTTTTCCAAACCCCCCAAATTCAGTAATAAAACAATATAGGGCTGTCACTCACACTGAGAAAGGTGATATTACAAATTTTAAAGAAAAATTCTCATCAGAATTATAAACAAGTTCAATGGAATCACACACAATAAAAACCTCAAGAGATTGTTTGTCAGCAGAAATTGGGAAACTGATTCTAAAGAAGACAAGTTTATCAAAAACTCCAAATCAACCAAAGTCATCCAGGATAAGAAATATGAAGGACTTCTACTGTAATTTCTGTATACAAATAGTTGAGTTTTACAGGAATATAGGTTTATCTTTATTCAGATAAAAACACAGAAATAAACCAAACAACAAAGGGGGAAAAAGAGTTTCAATAATGGGACACATCTAAACCATCAGCCCACAGAAAACCTAGCAGTATCATGCCCAGGAGGGGCAGGAGACAAGAATGTAATTAAGCAGGACGAATTGGTTATCGAGCCATAGAGAAAACATAACTGAGGCCTCTAACCCGATCCATACACAACATACATTCCTCAAGACACAAAATAATTAATGATTAAGGAAAGCATTGACCAAGCATACACAAACAAAAATATCGAACATTGTACTAAATATTAGCACAATAATTCCAACAGATACTTCACAAAATATGATATTTAATGAATTTGTAATCTCTTTATACTGAAAAGGATATTTATGCTAAATTGCAGGGTTGCTGTTTTGTTAGATTAGGGATATCACTTCAGGCTTTCCTATGAATCTTACATAATTAATATATGGTATGAAAATTTTGAAACATTTGCTCCTGAGAGTTTCAGATGCAAAATTGTGAATTACAGTTATAGAAGACAGACCAAGAAGGTGAGAACCATGACTACAGAAAGTTTATCTAGTTGGTTAATTCCATCAAAGACTGATCTTGACTCCCCTTCAAATTATTGCTACAATGAATAAATCATCTCCTAATATTGTTCTCTATTTACATGGCTAGAAAGAGACTAGAATATGAAAGAGTTATATCGACTGTTGAATTTTACTCAAAGTTTGACAAAAGAGAAAAATAATGTTAATAAATCAGATTAATCCATGTACCTCTTTCTCTGTGTGTGTCTGTCTCTCTCTGTATATATATATATGTGTGTGTGTGTGTGTACTATCTAAAATGATGGTTTAGACTCTCATTACTATATAAATTTGGAAATTTAAATACACTTCTAGTTTCTAAATTATTCTTTTACTGGTTTAGGAATGTATAAATGATTCTATTAAAAGACATAGATAATTATACTCAACTCTGGTGTGGGAGAATTGTCTGTATTCTGTCAATCATGTTTTAAATAAATGCTGATTGGCCAGGCAGGAAGTATAGGCAGGAAACCAGACAGGAAGTAGAGGTAGGGCAATGAGAACAGGAGAATTCTAGGAAGGAGGAAGTCCATTCCTCCTGACTCCTGCCCAGACCACCAAAGAAGCAATATGTGACCTGCCCTGCTAAGAAAGGTACCGAGCCATGTGGCTAACATAGATAAGAATAATGGGTTAATATAAATTACAAGAGCTAATAAGAAGCCTGAGCTATTGGGCCAATCAGATTATAATCTTATGGAGTCCTCTGTGTGATTTTCTTTGGGACTAAATGGGTGCAGGAACCAGGCAGGATAGAAACTCCAACAAGCCTGGCCCACATGTTACACAACTCTCCCTGAATTTTCATCAGTAACTTAGATAACTAATCCTAGTGAAATAGTAACACCATTTTCTATTAAGGTGTGGCTACCTAAAACTGTGCAGAGGGAGTCAGGTGAGTGTGCATAATATAGAGCTCAATCAGATGGACTTCATAGACTCTCTTAATTCTAGAATTTACTTAATTTATGACTTTCAGCAAGTTAACTGTATCTTTTCGGTCCTAGTTTCTTCTTGTGCAGAGTAAAAATACAGTTCAATCCTTTGCACTGTGTTCTCCAAATTTAACAAAATGCAATTTCCACATGAAGTCAATTAATATGCACTCTGATGGGATTAGAGTAAAACATAGATTCTGTTTTATAAATATTGGTCAAAATCCACAAATAAGAGATGTTAACTGTATATATGTTGGAATGTTTATTTAAATCTATTCTACAAACACCCTTACTTGTGGAGATCATAAGTAAGGTGGTGCCCTGAGCTAAATCACTCCCAGATTATATTGAAAGGTAACTTTCAGACTGTGCCTTGCCCTGGGGAATTTTATTTTATAAAACAATAGTTTGCTCAACTTTAAGTTCAAATGTCAAAGCAGAATGACTCTTCTTCTCCTGTATGCAAGTGACCAATATTCATCTATTGAGCACAAATTATAAGGTACAGTCCGATACATAACTTAATTGTACAAATAAGCTATAACCACCTGTGAACCCATTAAATCAAGTCAAGAACATATGGACAGACAAACATAGCAAAATAATATCAGCAAAATCAGCCCCCAGAGCTTATTGAACACACAAGGCCAACAGATAATAGAGTCCATTTGCCTTGACTCTAAAGGAAGGAGCATCCAAGTGCAGCGAGGTCATGGCACTTACACAGACCTATCAGTTGGTCACTAGCCATGGGTCTAACCAGGAAAGCTGCCACAACAAAGAACTTCCTTCCCAGTCTCCAGCTCAAATGCAGTTTCTCCTGCCTTTGACATACAGCCCATTTCTATTTCACATTCAAACTGGCCTGCCACTGGAATCTGAAAGTTCTGTGCCCAGAACAACACACTGTCATGCAATTCGTTCCTAAACTTTTTACCTGGCACCTCAAGACACTTTTCCTTACCCTTTATTAATAAAGCTCTCTGCCTGTCTTCAATACTGCCTCTTTGAACCCTGCAAGCTCTTTAACCTTTTTTAGTGAGTCTGTAACAATACATATCCATGTATGTATGTATATATATATATATACTTATATATATGCGCACAATTTCATTGTGTGAATTACAATGTGTGATCTGAGAATATGCCCACAACTATAGATGCCAATCACTAGTACTTAGTAAACTAAAGTCAATTAACTTGACACAGTTTTCTGTTTAATTGTTATCCATCGAATTTTGACATTGTTGAAAGGCCAGCTTTCCTATCTGTTTCTGACATAGCATGCCCATGATGCTAGTATTTGTACATATTTTTCTAGGTAAAACTTTGGCAGATTATTTCTAGAGAAATTGAAGCACGTATCCTTCATTTTCTCAAAATTGTTTGCATGATTTTAAAAACTAAACAGTAACAATAACCTTTAAATAAATAAAATCATTTGATTCTAAATCTACAGCCTTCCCACAATCTCTGCAACTCCTTTAATCCCCCCCCCCCATTTCTCAGCTGTTGTTTATCAGGCATTTTCAAACCACAGACTTATCACTGACTGTATCCTACTGTAAAAATGGCTACTTCTGGTTTCAGCTCCCTCAAGTAAAGAAGTTGAAAATCCACGCACGCGCGCGCAAGCACAAAAGCGCTGCCTTCCTAGAAGACAACTCTGGGCAAACGTGACGAACGATTTTTTAAAAAAAACGCATCAAAGAACTGAGATTGCAGGGAAAACCACTTCAAAAGATATAACACTCAACATTTAAACGTTAAATGTGCGAAATCGCTGGAGGCTGAACGTGGATGAGCAGGAGAGTGAGTCCACTTATCCGTGGACTTTACCTTTAGGAAAAGGTCCTGTGATCCAGGCAGCGCGGAGCAGTAAAGGGAAGCAGAGCCATCACACCTGCTGCCCAAGCCGGTTGGTGTGAGGTGATGCTCCGCAGGAGGGTGGAGGTTGCGAAGTGGGGGCACAGGCGCTGCCTCTTCCTGCAGAATCCGCAGCTGTGGTCCTCCGCAGCTGTAATCTTGCGCTGGCGAGGCTGCAGGGACACAGCCCCCCACCTTGAACCGCGCCTTGGCCGCAGCGCTGCACTACGGTCCCCAATGAGACGTTCCGCGGAACTTGGCGGAAGAGCCCTAGGGGATGAGGCCTGGCGCTGCCAGACCGCCTCCCAGCGCTTGCGCTGCGTGCCAGGGGCTAGCTCATTGGCGAGAACACCTCCTGCTGCAGGCTGGCTGCAGGCTGCGCAAGTAGCTGCTTGGGCACGGGCGGCGCAAGTAGCTGTGCATCCGCGCGCCTGACCTCTTTAGTGCAGCTTCCCATTCCCTGGGGGTGGGGGATAGAGGGTGGGAGTATGGTGGGTGGTGAGGGTGGGGGCGGGGGGCTTTACAAAAGACCCCTCAGCTTCCAAAAGGCTCCTGACCTCAGCCGGGAACCCAGGCTGCTTCATTCTCTAGGGGTCAGAGACCAGGTAGCTGGAGATGGGGGCGGGGAGAGAGCAGGGATTCTCCCTTGGCTGTGCAGTTTGGCAGTGGTTGTCTTCCTTATTCTGCCCCACCCTACCTTCATAGCCACCCCTGGCTTCCTCAGTCATTAAAGCAAAACTTACAGTCTTGACCCTGAAGGGATTTGAGGGGAGAGGGAAGGGGAAGTTCAATTTTTAAAAACTTACTAGAGCACTTCTTGGCTCCTTTGAACTGCAAAGATGAGTCACTTGTTGAAAGGGAGGCCAAGGTGCTTTCCTTGCTCTTAAAATGACACGGGCTGGTGCAACGTGTTGGTGCAGTGTATCTGCAGCCAGCCCCCTTTTTCTAAATTTTCATAGACCTGTAGCTCAGAGGTCCGGATAAGCTTTTGTGTTGGCATCAAATACCTAGATTTTCCATTTTCTATCAGGTAAATCCTTCCCAGTGCCCGTGGAAATGGTGTACGAACTCTTCTAGTTCTCAGTAATTGTATAAGTATATAAATGTATAAGGAAAAATACATTATATCTCAGTATAGCAAGGAATAAGTACAGGAACATATTTGAAATATTTAATACAAAAAGGAACTGGAGTTATTTCATGTGTTATTTCTGAACAAATTTCACAAAGGTTTGATGTGAAAAGTTTTTATTGGGCTTATTTTTATTTTTCTTATATGCTAAAATTTAGGAAATGTTCTGCATGCCAAATGGAGAACAGATAACGTAACTGGAGCCTTTTCCTCAAGTCTTTCCTCACAGTTAAGGTGAAGAACTTGAATTTAATTAGTCTAATGTCAATGCAAAGTAGATGCACCCCACTCACTCCAAAGAAGCTGCAGGCTGGGACAGTATGGATGAATGAAAAAACAAAAAGGAAACAAAAAACTCAAAACACTAAAAACCAAAAATAGAAAATCGGAGGGAACTTTGTTAGTGTGGAGGCTCATTTGTAGCCAAGAGTTCTGATTTTGGCGTTTACATTCTTTGGGGGGGGGGTGGTTTTTCAATACAGGGTTTCTCTGTAGCTTTGGTGCCTGTCCTGAAACTAGCTCTTATAGACCAGACTGGCCTCGAACTCATGGACATCTGCCTGCTTCTGCCTCCCAGAGGGCTGGGATTAAAGGCGTCCACCACCTTAATTTACATTCTTAATTCTGTCATTTCAACGTTTAATGACATCTGTATTTTTTACTTCCAGATATTTTTCTTAAAATGTATTAATTATACAACATATGAGTTTCATTGTGACATCTCAGATTTTAAACATATTCATCCCTTCTCACATTGGTTGCCTTCTTTCCAAATAACCCTCATTCTACTGGCATGTCTTTTCTTTATAATGTAGGTTCTGTACTTGAGAGAAAACATTTATGAATTTGGCTTATGCCCCTGAATATGATTACCTCTGCTTCCATCCATTTTTCTGCAGAGCCATGATTTTATTTACCTATATGGCGGAATAATAATGTATTATATGTCATATTTTGTCCATTCATCAATTGATGACAACCTAGACTAGTTCCATAACTTGACTTATAAATAATGCTATAGCATACATGGGTAGACTTTTCAAGTTTTCTAATAACTTTTTCCACCCTTCTTTGTTTTTTTTTTCTTTTAAGTTTGATCATCTATTGGATAAAAATGTGGGATAAAAACAATGACATCTTGAATTTTGCATGCAAATGGATGGAAGTACAAAGCACTATCCTGAGCGAGATAACACAGACCCAAAAATATAAATATGGTATGTACTCACTCATTAGTGGATTCTAGCCATGAACAAAGGACACTGAGCCTATAGTTTGTGATCCTAGGGAACCTAAGTAATAAGGTGAACCCAAACAAAAACATATATAGATCTTCCTGGAAATTGGAAGCAGACAAGATCGCCAGACAAAGGTTGGGAGTATGGGGGTTGGGTGGAGTGGGGGGAAGAGAAAAGGGGGAAAAAGAAGGAAGAAGGTTGGGGAGAGCTTGGGGAGTGGGATGGTTGAGATGGAGGAAGGACAGATATGGGAGCAGGGAAGAAGATACCTTAATTAAGGGAGGCATTGTGGGGTTGGAAAGAGGCTGGACTCTAGAGGGGGTCCCAGATGTCCACAGGGATGTCCCCAGCTAGGATCCTGGGCAGTGGAGGAGAGGGTGCCTGAACTGGCCTTGTCCCTTAGTCAAACTGATGACTATCTTGAATATCACCATAGAACATTCTTCTGGCGACAGATGGAGATAGAGACAGAGACCCACATGGGAGTACTGAACTGAGCTCCCAAGGTCCAGTTGAAGAGCAGAAGGAGAGAGAATATGACCAAGGAAGTCAGGACCACGAGGGGTTGGTCCACCCACTGAGACAGTGTGCCTGATCTAATGGGAGCTCACCAAAGCCAGCTGGCCTGGGACTGAACGAACATGGGATCAAACTGAATCCTGAATATGGCTGACAATTGGGGCAGACTGAGAAGCCAATGATAATGACACTGGGATTTGTCTCTACTGCATGGACTACTGGCTTTTTAGGATCCTAGTCTCTTTGGATGCATACCTTCCTAAGCCTGGATGGAGGGGGGAGGGCCTTGGACTTCCCACAGGCCAGGGTACCCTGCCCTCTCTTAGGACTGGAGGGGGAGGGGGAAGGGAGTTGGAGGGGATTAGGAGGCATGGAGGAAGTGGAAATTTAGATTCCTAATATTAATAAAGTAAGAAAAAAAAGAAATAGGAAAAAAGAAAATGTGGGATAATATTGGCCTGAACACCATGGCAAACAAAAATAATTTGAGTAACCTGAGTTTTTGCTTGTTTATGTTGTTTTTATAACAGGATCCTGTATTCCCTGGGCTTCCTTAAACTTGCTATATAGTTCAGACTGACCTTGAACAATTGATCCTCTACCTCCCAAGTATTTAGATTGCAAGTATGTACTACCAGGTTAACTTGAATTTGTAATAGGAGGGTTTTGGTTTGATTTTTTAATGGTATTTGTCTGTAAATCTTCCTAAGTGTCAGAAAGCCTGACTGTCACACAGCAAGATTCTACATTTTTTTAAAGGTACCCTACAACCTAGATAGAATGGCTTCTTTTCTTCTCCTCCTACAGACTATATGTAGACTTAAAAAGCATTTAAACACCACACATCGAGGACAGACTACAAAAGTTTTTATTTTCTTTGAAAGACAACCCATTTCTTAAAACATAAGTTGGCTAAAAGTCCCTCTTATATACTTGAAGACCTTTTAATTATTTCTGATATTAATAGTTATTGATTTCTATCCTTCCTTCCATAAGCAAATGTACTAAGAAAATCTTTACAGGGTATAGTCCTTTTCTTCCATATTCTTTAAACTGCACAATACTCATCTTGTAGGAGAGCGACAAACAGTAGGCTTGCATGGTGGGTGGGAAATCACAGGCCACACAGGCCTGAAGTTGTAGTTACACCTAGTAGGAAGTTCTAAAGTCCACAGTGGGATAGACTCATCTTTTTTCTTCACTTGAAGATTTCAAAAATTTGAGACAGAAAGCTGAACCTTAGTTTTGCTATTCAACCATTTTTCTCTTGATCTTTTTCTCTTTCCATACTGTTTAATGGATTTGTAGTAAACTTTCAAAAGTAAGAGAATTTTCTTGTATACTGTTTGCCCGAAATCTTGGCTCTAATTCATCTTTTTAAACAACAACAAAATAATCTCTAAACCAGCCCCCAGATTCAGGTGCTAAAAGGTCTTTAAAGATCTTCCTTATTCATGGTCCCAGGGTTCAGACCATCATACAATCAAGATGCAGGGGACAATGGGACAGTTGTCTTCCTCTATTCCCAATGCTCTATATCACTGACAGTCATGATCAATGCAGGGATCGCAGGATTGTTTTTAGTGTTTGAGGATAGGGGATTGGGGCAGAGCACGACACGTATGTCTAAAGCCAGTTCCATAGTTAAGAACTAAGCAAATTCTGAGGCCTGCACACCTAGAATGGATACTTTTGAAGCTATTCTATGTAGCACAAATAATAAAAACCCAGAGAAAGATACTGGGGTTTACCCTGAAGATCAGAAAAGCAAAGCAGCCAAGTCACTAGAGAGCTCTTATCTCTATGAAATCTTCAAACTGAAAGAGAGCGAGTTCCTGTCTCATCCCACTGAAATTAAAGGCACGCAGCACGACCGCCCCGCCTCTATGACTAACTAGTGTGGCTGCTGAGATTAAAGGTGTGGCCTGTATGGCTGACAAGTGTGACTATTTTGCGTTCTGATCTTCAGGCAAGCTTTCTTTATTAAAATTCAAATGAATTATCACTACAGTTGTGAATGGGATTCTTTTTTTAATCTCTTTGTCAGCAAGTTCATTATTAGTGTTTAGCAAAGTTACCAAGTATTCTGTGTTCCGTTTGTATCTTTCTGCTTTGCTAAAGTCTTTATCAGAGCCAACTCACTGCAGGGATGATTTTTCGAGGCTTTTAAATACAGAAAACAAATCCCTTGCGTCATCATTTCCTTGTATTGTGTTGTTGTTGTTATGTTTCTACTTCCCAGTACCCCCGGAACATAAGGATAATTGGACTTTCTTTCTAATTGCAGCCTTTCAATCTGTTCTATTTTCTGAGTAATTACTTGGATGGGATTGGAAAGAGAGCACCCATTAACT